CATCGCCATGGGAAAATTTCTTATCTCTAACCAATTTACATACCTATACGATATGTACCCAAACATAGTGTATGCACAAAATAAAGGTAATAGAATAGAGGTTTAGGTTATTGTGACTACCGATCCCTGAAGGGTTTAGTATGCTGATAAGGTCATCTTTTGAACTTACAAACTTCCGTAATACAGCTGGGATAATAATTACATATCACGCATGACTTGTACTCCGATGTTTATTATTAGAACTATTTCTTTAACATAATTTTATTTTCTCAAATTAGTCTCAACACGCTGAACTGATACATTAAAATGTTTACAGTATAATTATATTTTATTCGATAACGTTGGGAGATCTTCAATGAAACGACGCTCTAATTAAAGTAGTAATTGTGTTCCATATTATGTTTTGTGCTTATTACATGTGTCAATTGCTAAATGCCGCTCAAAGTCAAATTTGTAATGTTGGAGATGTAAAAATATGTCCAAATGTTGTCAAAATGTTTAATATCAAAATATTTACAATCTATTTATTTTACTGATACATTAGTGAAATGTTGGGTATGTCAAAATGTTAACAATATAATTATCTTTTACTGATAGATTAATTAGTTGTATGTGGCAGTTATTGCAAAATGTTCGCAACATAATCATATATTTTAAAATTTACTAATAGATCATAAATGTGTATACCAAAATAGAATGAAAATGTTTTAAGAAATTTCGCGTTACCATATTCCATTTTTAACGCCCACATTTTTATGTGGATGCATATTGTCGTCCTCTGTCCGTCCGTAGGTCCACATTTTGTTTCAGGATATTCTACAGGTCACAATTGTTATCTGATTTTGACAAAACTTGAAATATAAGTTTTTCTCCAAAAGATCTCGGTCCTTTTATCGGCATTTATCGGGCCGTAACTTCATTTATTATGGCCGCTGATTGTACGAAAAATCGAGTTTTTAGCTTGTGGACACTCTAAGAGGTCACAAATTTTATCCGATTTTGATGAAACTTGACATATATGTTTATAACCCATAGAACTCGATCCCTTCCGATATTAGTGCATATCGGACCGTGATGTCCTGGATTATAGTCCCTACATTTTTTTTTATATATCACCGTTACGCCATATAAACGGTTCAGTTCAAATTTCGTGAAAATTGGACCGAAACTGCCCGATAAAATGGCCATGCCATTACGCAAATAGTGTAAAAAGTATGTAATATCAAGGTTGTTGACCCTCTAGAGGTCACAATTTTGAGCTAATTTTGATGAAAATTAAAATATATATTTATATCCCAAAGATCTGAGTTCATTTCGACCTTTAGCGGAGTTCATTTCGACTGTAACTTCCTGGATTATGATCCCTGATTGTACGAAAAAGTCACGTGACGCTCAAGTCGCCATTTCATCAAATGAGTATGCAATTCATGGCGAGTAAGGTAAGTTAGAGTTATACCCGCTCGCCACGATTCGAGTCCGACTGCCGAGCTCAAGTCGGGTCTCGGGTCGCAATAAATATTTCAAGATGAGTCGCAAGTCGTTTCATTGATACAATTTTATTCTGACTCGAGTTCGAGTCGCGTGACTCGATTGAAGTTACCCCCCTTTATCCGAAAACCATGCGTAGGCTTTACAGTTTACTCTCTTTAACAAGTTGTTGTCTTTTTTTTCAAACTCGGTGTGAAGCATTGTGTGTCAAGAGAACCCTATTGATTTCAGGGTTCTGCGATCTTCCATTCTGGCGTTACGCACCCTCTTCCAAAAAAACTGTTAAACCAGATTGGGAGCATTGGGACTGTGAAAGGGTGAACCCTGTCAATTTCCAAATTTGGTGTGAAGTGTTAGCATCGGAGAGGGTGGATTTTCAAATTTGGGATGGAGCATTGGTATCTGGAGAGGATTTGGGCCATTCTAGGACTTTCTGTTCCAGATATACATTATGTATCCGTAACACCATGTGAAGACGATAGAGATTTCTTGGAGACATAAAGGTCCTTAACAGATTTGGTGAGCATCCCAGTTTTCTTTTCAGACAAACTGTTGTCTATGGGTAACTTGTATGTGGGTATACTTTCACTCTATGCGTGAAATCTGTCCACCTGTGCTACTAGCTGACTATATATGGATGATTGATGCCTGTGATATAGTGTTAGCTACTAGCTAAATATGTATGTATGTTTGGTGCCTGTGATATAGGGTTAGTGACTAGCTGAATATGTATGGTGTCTGTGATATAGGATCCGCTACTAGCTGAATATTATATATGTTTGATGCCTGTGAAATTTCTAGCTAAATATGTTTGTTTCATATCTTTGATATATGGTTATCCACTAGCTGAAAATAAAAATAATATATGTTTAATATAATGAAGACGTACATAATCAGTGAATTGACTTTATTTAAAGTCTGCTTACATAAGGAATCGATGTTGCAGTCTAGTACTAGTAACTGCCAGTCATATCTGATGCCATTAAATACAGAACACATAATACCACCTAGAACACCCGATACCACTCCTCATTTATTTGGAATATTAACAAAGTTGTTTAATATCTGTACATTTATCATTAGATTAGTGGGAGCCACAGTGGCTAGGTGGTTAAGACGCTGGCTCGCTAGACTGGAGGTCGGGTGTTCGATCCCTGCATTGGCCGAGAAAGTTCATCTGGATTTTCCGACGTGGTTTCCCCTTGTCAGTGGTGCAGAACGGAGGGCCTGACAAGGACAGCTGTCTTGTCTTTCGGATGAGACGAAAAACCGAGGTCCCGTGTATACATTGGAATGCACGTAAATTTCCCTCATAGCACACTGTATGACGTATGTCCGTCTTCATTAGCCCAGTATAGGAGCAGAACAGTAGGACGTTAAACCCCATTTCATTTCATTAGGTTAGATGAATAAGTTCAGAGGTTAACAAAGATCACTAATGTGACAGTCTGGCAATTCAGTTGCTCTAGAAAAGGTGATTAGAAATCGTAAAGACAAATCAGTGTATTATATCCTAATAATTATAATAATCATCTGTTTATAAAGCGCTGAATATCCAAGAAACGATTTGCTCAAGAGCACTAGCTTTTTCCATACAAAATTTTAAATAGTGAAATAACCATGATACAATAAAACCCTAATGAAGCCGGCGAACAGAATAGACCTTATTTTTAAATCGAGTTGGAAGTTTAAGTTATATATCTGTATTTCAACAACTTGGCTGATGACGGTGGATGACCACTCACGTTACATCAATCTATGTAGCGGTAGTTAGTGACACGTGTCATGCCCGAGGCAGAATATACGTGCATCCAATATGTACTTGTAATAAAACATTACGTTAGAATTTACACACAAGACTGAATATGTATTTATTGCAAGATGTTTTTTTTACGGTAAATAAAAGTTCACCTATAATACCATCTACCGGTTAAGTTTAAATTTATAAGTACAGCACAGTATTCTTAAGACCCCTTGCCAGATCCGAGGGGTAAACATGGTTAATTATGGTACATACAAGTGCATCTAATAAAATACCATCACCTAATTGCTTTCTTTATATTGTGCTAACACAAGTCAATAAAAGTTATACAAATTAGTTGGTTCTGTTTCTGTGACACGATATTAATTGATATGTATATAAAAATTACGTAATAGGGAAAATGGCTTCTAATGGACAATCAGGTATAATCTAATAACAATAGGCGTATTATTAGAACTGCGAAAGTCTTACTGGGGCTAAAAAGGTCAATCCGTGTTTTCTTTAGGGAACTATTGTTTGACCCGTAATTAAGGATTATTTGTTCACCTGTACCTAAAGTTTAGGGTAGCTGTCCAAATATTCTCAGTGATATTGTTTTTAAAGTGTGAATTGTGACACGACAAATTCCAATTTACTCTATTTCAATTAAAATTAAACAAAATATATTTCGTATTTTGAAAAGTTCAATAAATAAAGAGATGTCTTCCCCGCCCCAAATAAATAACATCATTTTAAGAAATAGGATAAATGTTTAAAAAAGAATACAGGACATGGAAGGTCAAACTGCTCTTTATTCAGTGTTCTTAATTGTTGTTGGTTCTTAATTCACAAAGTCCTTAATACGTATTTCTTCATTTTTGTTGTCGTATTTCGACATTTGTATATTAAAATTTAGCATTTGTTTTGCAAGATTTGTAATTTGAAATTTATTGTTCGAGATTTGTTTTTCGCTGCATGTTTCTGATAAAATGTAAATGTACAATTGAATTAAACAAAATGTCTGATTGATTTTAAGATATAAATGTTAATTTTAGTATACAAAATGTCGAAATACGATAAGAAATGAAGAAATATGAGTTGATAACTGTGAATTAGGAATTAAAAACACAAAATAAAGAGTTGTTCCATACAGAACTGGTATTAAAATTTTGAATGGAAAAGTTATGCATTTAGTTTCCGTTTCAAGAATTTTGAGAATAGGAATATCCCTTCCATTATCCCCCCCCCCATGTAATGGGTTATTTTAATAAGCAAACTTATCCTTAACATCCATACTAATCAATTCTTATGTATGCTTTAAGAAAATCGATACAGTTTTGGCATACATTCGTTCTTCAGAACGTGTGTCAATTCCTTATCATTTTTTTTGTAAAAAAAACCCCAAAAAACAAAAAACAACAGAAAAAAAACAGATTAAAAAGATTTGTTGTTCGTGGTTCGAAGAATGTAGTGATCAGGATTTGAAGCCTGTCACCTATTCTCTTTCAATCAGTTTCTCGTCGTAAAGTCTGCGTTGGATTAAAATTTTCTTTTGTCTGTTTTCTTTAGGTTTTACGGTTTGTTTACCGTCTTAATCCTTTAAGACTCGGATCTCAACAAATGTTTATACTTTGTCACATCCGATTATCAAGCGAGCAGGCTTGGTAAAATGTCAACTGCTAAAAAGAGACTGGATATCAGAGCAAAACACTTATACCTGTCCGCCTCGCTACGAACGCTGACGGAAATTTCCTAATATAGAAACTGGTCCTGCCAGTACGTCAGACATTTGGTGTTGAATAGCTTGGTTGTTCGGGTCGATACAACTATACGCTTCGTTTATTCACTGACTGTACACCACCAACAGTCATAGATATGTAACATGGCCGCAATGACAGACACACCTATGCTACCGGTCCCGCTGTGGGAATCCGATGTTGTTATTCCATTGAAGGATTTCTCCTCTAAGAGACCCGTTCCTGGATTAGCGAAAGTGGTTAAAGGACAATATATGAGTATTGGTATTTCTAAGTTTTCATTACATAAACAGCATCAAGAAGTGTATATACATTCAGTGAAAATGGGAGTCAAAGTTCTTGCCCATAGTTTAAGACGTGTGGATGGTACATCTAAACGAGGACAACCTATAATGAAATTAGTGCCAATGGAACAAAGACTAGCGATCCCTATTGCGTACCAAGGATGGTTCGAAATTGCTTCTGAAGATGGAAAGTCAGCGAGACCCATAGCAAGTGTGTTAGAATTAGCGAGACTTTTCCCTCAAAGGTGTTTAGTGAGAGAAAGTATAAGGGCTTATTTAGCAAACGGCGAAGGAAAATTAACGGCGTTTGATAAAACTAAGATAATTCCAGCTGGAGAACAGTTAAAACTTTGTGGTGATTTGTCGTTCCCAGCCCCGTCAGCAAACACTAAAGTCAAACTACTTCGTTGTGAAGACTCGAAAGGTGATAGTGTCTACCTAAGCTACGATCAAAAAGGTTTATTTACTCCCATAGCAGGAGCGAGAGATGTGACTGGTGTATTTTCAATTAAAGATATCATTCGCCGCTTCAGACTACCATTAACAGTTAAACTAATACAGGGTATAAAACCCAAAGTTGACCCAAGTAGGTTTTCCACCTTAATTAGACTCGACTGGGTGTATACCGATGAAACAGCATTTATGTCACCTTTGGAGAAAAATCATATTAGGATTTTACCGGTCCCCGCTGATGCCCAGTTATATTTGACATCAGCTGTTAATCATGATGAGATTAAATCTAGTGAAGCCTACCGAATGACTTTAATTAAATGCAATAAAATGGTAGCCAATTATCATAATACAATACATTTATTGGTTAATTTACCGGAATCTGTGTTAAGAGGTAAGAAGGGCTCAAGCTCAAATGTGTTTTCAAGTCCCCAAAAACTGTCTGAAGCTCCCCAGTCTAGCATCAGGCGATCCAAAAGTCGCGAAGATATGTTAATGGACGAAATCGATACTCTTTATCAGTATGTGAGGGACGGTGGTCCTACGCCCAAAATTAAACTGACTTACGACTCTGATGAAGAGAGTTATTGGGAAGAACCCGCTTATGAACCTTTGGATGATTTTAGGGCTCGTGTAAGAGCTCTGGAATCCGGACAAAAAGTGAGTTATCATGATAAATACCGTCCCACAGATCCCAAAAAAATAAACCTTGACGCGGATCCAGATATCACTGCTAGTGGCAATATTTATGGAGTGGTGACCACCAATACGGGTTCTTCCAACAGTAACAGCAATAATTCAGACGAACCACCACCTCTCCCCCCAAGACCTTCTACTGGCACCGAAAATGGCACCATTCCAAAACAAACACCCCCTCCGCTACCACCGAGACAGTATGTTAAGAATTCCCCAGATCAGCATCTACAGCACATGGAATCCATGAGATCTTCGCGATCTGGAGGAAAGAACAGCTCTACACCATCCAAAGAGAGAAACAAACACACAGACTCCAACAGTAGTGGCAGTGGTGGTATCAGGAACTATCTAGGTAGAGATTTTAAAGACTCTGATCTAAGCTCCCGAACACGTGGTTCTAGGGAATCATATACTGCCAGACAGCGGATTAAAGTGTTATATTTATAGATTTATAATAAATTTAATTCCATTTTAAAACCTCAATGTGATGTGATATAACTTATTCATCACCAACTCTCCTGTTAATTTCTGGAAATCCAATGACTTTTCTCTGCGATAATCAAGGTTCGCTACTCATGGAATATTCCAGTGTTATTAAACATTACTAGTCTACTTGGATATGACTACATCCTGTGTCAACAATCGTGCGATATTTCTCCTATTGAAATGCTAAAATTCTTTTGATGACTTCAACGTGAACTCAAGAATATAACATAACAGTGATTCTCAATAATAGGACTAAGCATTACTTGAAGGATAGACCACTCAGTTAACGGTGGTCTTAATATATACATGTTTATACAATCTGTGATCAAATATATACGTTTAAATATAGATGTATTATTTAAGAAACATGAATTTGCATATAAAGCGTATTTCTTGTAAAGGTTGGAGTTTTTTTGGGGTTTAGAAAAATATTTCACTGGAGGTGTTACTGTGAAAACATCTTTTTAGTTGCACTTGATTGTGTTCTACAATATGTACGTCAGGGTAAGGACAATGTCTTGGGTCTAGCGGGAATATTTAATGGGTGGAAACGACATGGGTTTCATATAAATATATACAGTAATGGGTTGTTATATAACGCCACTATCTTGGCAAACGTTTTCAGTCTTATCATGGAAATGCATAGGTGGCATTATAGATATCATGTATTCGTCTCAAATAGAAACTGTTATTGACAAAGTTAATACAATTATGTGCTCAGATTATGTGCGTGATAGTTGTAGTCCAAGGAGTCCAAGGTGTTGTTCATATTCAATGATTTGTAGTCAAGGGATCAATAACTTGATCTAAAGGTATTCCTTCAATGCGTCAGTGGTTCGAATGAATAGCATTTGAACATTGTATTAATGCACTTGCTGTTCCCACACGTTAACACACTACTTGGACTTGTTTTGAGGAATCCGTGAGACATGACACAATGATTTGTTTTGAATAGCATATGACACACTGATTTCAAAATAGGCCTACTTCGCTCACATATTCTATGAATAGGAGTTACCATAACTGTTTTATAATGTTAAGGCTTGACGTTTTTCTCTCTCTAACGTTGTGGAAATAATACATCATTATTATAAAAGACACGGGTGGAAATATATATATATTTAGTTACGAATGTAAACCAGGTTTCTGCCCGGGCATCGACATTTCTGCTCACGCTTCTCGGAATTCAATCTCTCTAGGAATCGTTTGTCAACACCAATGTATATATATATATAACCCAGTTATTTGTACCACTCGAACGACTAGAATAATTTCCGAGTCTGTTCCACATGCATTACCTTTGAAAAGTTGGATCAAGGTTTGAAAATTTCCAAATGTTCTTCTCCCATGCCTGGATTGGAAGATTTGACATTTTATTTCGACAGTGATTCTATTGGCCCACCCGTATGATTACGTCGATCCCCACCTATTATTTTGAATACAAATTGTTATACTTTTACGTTGCTATTGTTTGTCGTGTATTTTGTACACGAGGAGCAGTCCATTTGCTGATTACACTATTTTGCTTGAATACACTATTTTGCCTATAACGTTTTTTAGGACTTCGAATTCTGTCTTATGGTTTGGATTGTTCGTACTTGGTTTTATTTTATTATTAGACGTATAAATCCTAATATGTAAGTTGTAACAGATTGAAGTATGCGGAAGAATTTATGTCCTTGCTGTAGAATTAGATAATCAAAATGACACTATTTCTATTTTCCAAAATTACCGATATGCTAATAATGCAGCATCGCGACCAATTTAAACATTACGTTTCATCTACATTGTGATTTGAGAAACCCTACATGTTTCAACCATGTTGAAATCAATATTCCCTTTGTCGTAACTCAAATAATGGATGTCAGGCTAACATAGGAGGAGAATGCGACTAGTTTCTTAAGTCCCTGCTTCCGTGGTTTATATTTTATCTAAGGGGTGATTCACGTTGTATGATATACATATAGGGATAACTGTCATGATATGTGTCAGATTAATGTCAGACTAATATCAACCATGCATTACATATATTTGTGTAATATGCTGTCATCATTATTACTTGACAACTCATTCGTCATCGACTTGCATGTGATGTGACATTGTGATATACTTTTTATTTTCATTAGTCGTTACACCTGCACGCTGTATTTTTCAAGGTTACCGAAAAGCTAAATTTTATATAAATAATAGGGTATGAATAAAGGTCATTATTGTTATGAATAATAGATGAATAAATATAAAAAGTATTGATTGATGTCTAACTTTGTAATTTAAAATACAAGGTTACTAAAAGCCAAACTATTATATGAATACTAGGGGATTATTAATACGTAATGGGGCAAGTCACCAAGATAAATATTTGCTATGGATAATAGACCATAGTTAATGAATATAAACAGCATGGGTTAATGTTGAGCTTAATTGTTATTAATACAATGTTATACAGGGTTACTAAAATGCAAACTATTATGTGGATACTTGCTAGGGGGATGATTAATACGTAATGAATACACGTCATTAAGAAAAAATATTTTTATGTATAACAGGCAATGTTTTACACGTAGAATATATAACAGCATGTGGCTCGCTAGCCTGGAGGGCGCGTGTTCGATCCCTGCATTGGCGGAGAAAGCTCATCGGGATATTTCGACGTGGTTTCCCCTTGTCAGTCGTTCGGATGGGACGAAAAACCGTGTATACATTGGCGTGGACGTAAAAAATCCATTGGCAGTTGGAATTCGATACAAGGGTAGGTCATAGTGCCGCTGTCCGGGCAAAATTTCCCCCATTGCACACTGTATGGCGAATGACGCTCTTCATTAGCCCAGCCGGAGCAGAACAGTAGGACTTTAAACCAGATTTCATTTCATTTGTAAACAACATAGGTTAATGCTGAGCTTAATTGTAATTATTAATACAAGGTTACTAAACAACAATTGTGTGATGAATACTATGTGATGATTAATACTTAATTGCATAGGTCACGAAGAAAAAATATTTATGGATAACAGTCAATGTTTTATACGTAATTATTATATTATTGTAATTTCATTTTAAAGCGCTACGTTATTAGAAGTTATTTCTTAGCGCTGTACAGTCATATTTACACAATGATACACGCATGATTCTATTGATATGATTCTCTTATGGATATAAATGAATATAAGAGTATAGTTTAGTGACGAGCTTAATTATAATTCAATGCAATGTTTCGGTCGAGTAAATATTGCGTTCTTATATTATGTTATGTCCATACGTAGTCCTACACCATAAATTGTTAAAGGTGATGCCAGATGTTTTATAAGAAAAAAGTAAGCTTTCGCCACTACACTAAGTAGGTGATACACTGTCTTTATATTTTAACAGACGTTAGACAAACTTTAAAGATACCCCTATTTAAAATCAAGCGAACCAATGAGCAGTATTTCGAAGAAACTAAGTATTTATTCGTTGTAATTCTTTCATTGTTACAACATTCACATCGCCAAGATTCGCTGGATTGGCTTTTAATAATAACAAATATTTGTCAATGATTAGTTATATATGAACTAATGAACGCTTTGTTACATGTAAATATGAAATAAATCAATAATGTTTAACGTATCGTCGCCACTTTACGGGACATATTGAGATTAACAAGTTATGTTATTTTAAACATTAAGAATTTCCGAAACGATACAGCAAAAAACCTGACAAGCAGCTATTTATACGTCGGTACATTAACAATAATTGACCTGCGTCTCCTAAAAATCTCTTTAAAACAAGACAACAGTCTATTCAAACACCATTTATATTTCAAACGTAAACACTATTAAAAAAAGTTAAAAATGATTTGTGTTTTCAACAATGGATTCACAAACCATGACTTTTAGAACAAGAGTTTAAAACCCCATTCTGTAAAAAAGTAATTTGAACGCTTTCCCACTTTAAAAAATAGAGAAGTTTTTATTAATCTATTTCACGATTGTTATAATTGACGGTGACTGTTCTCCTTCTCATCATCAGAAATAGTCATATAGGTAGTTTACTTTGTCACGGTTCTTTATCACCATCATGATGATTATCATATATTATACATCTCTTTGTTGTCTTTCAATATATATATAAATAGATATGTGTCATGCCGTTACTATGTACAAATCAATAGTTTTTCTCTTCAAGAGAAAGGGACGAAATGGAGTTAAAGGTCATATCAAAAGAATACTTCGGTCACATAGTAGGACAACTTTGCCCGGGCAGTGGCGTTTCAGCCCAAACTTCATATCAAGTTCCAACTGTAGGTGTTCTTTTTACGTGTATCACCCGAATGACTAGGTAAATCTAAAACTTATGAGCCCCACAGGGTCATACATATTTGTTTTAATAAATTACCAGAGAACCCAAACAAATAATATGATCCGAAACACTAGGGTGCCTTTGGGTATCGGAGACTACACAATAGAAATGGGATTACATTTAATATCGTAATCAGTTGCCGGACGAAAACTTAATAAATCTAACCGACTTACCTATTGGTACCGAGTTTACCTGGTAGAATAAACTTATAGTAAACACTGTGTGTCACTTTAAAGTAGCTAAGTCTCTAACTCAATATCATCAAAAATCTTCGACATTGAAAACACGAATTATTTGTCAATTCAAATCAACATTGGTCTTGTGATCTTACAGGGAAAAGATGGGCTTCTGATTTCCAATATTCGAGACAAAATAAACATTTTGTCCTTGGTACACGATTCGTGTACCATAATGCGTTACAGTCCCATTTGGAACAAGGGACTCAAAGAACGAGGCTAGACATATTCCACAAATCATGTCAAATGAGACGCTATATTCTTATCTGGAGAGCATGCGCAATAGATGCCATCGGTTTAGACTGGAATAACCAGACGCTAAAGATTGTCTTCAATTGAGACTTCTGGCGTATTTCGCCGAACATAACTGATTAGAAATTACAGTATAAACAGAAACGATTGAATGTAACTCAGTTTATATACATTCATATTACATTATTATATGCGTTGCGAACCATTTGTGTCAATTTCTAGATCCCAAATATTAGCGATTTAGGTCCTTTAAATCTGTATTTATCGCTAAGGAAATATTTGTTGAACAATCAACTGATTATCGATCATATTTTACATTGTTTTTAATAATAACCCCTTTGAATTAAATATTGATTTATTGGCATAGTTGACTTAGTTTATTTTAATGAACGATGTTAGAATGGGTTGCTTTGTACGTTATTGGAGATACATGTACATGTACTAGATTTTTAGGGGAAAAAAGCTTTTTAAGCACATCCACATACAAAAAGAAGCCTACATAAATAATGAGTTGGCTCTTTAATACTTTATTTCTCCCTGATTCATAGCGACCTCAATATGAAATAACAATAAAAGC